GCACGGGAAGGGAAAGAGAAATCGAATTGAAAAAAGGCCGACAACGCCACGGCGCCACCGATAATATTCATGAATATTCGAGAGAACATCGATCCGCGTTACATTTGGGGACTGGAATTATTATTATTACACACCACGACATTAACAACCGTTTGCATGCCAGCGACAACATGCTGCTGGAAGCATATCACAGGAACAGAATGAAAGAAAAAGAAAAGCTCCTTCGCGGAGACTCGTTAATAATATATGCATCGACTGTGTGCCTAATAAAATGTCAATGCATATATATCCTTTCATTGATTTGATGTTTATATTCGCAAAAAAAACTGGATTACCAAAATCGTTCTCAAGTGAATTTCAAGAAACAAAACAAAAACAATATAAAGCTAAGAAATAATGTACACTATAATATCACATACACATACAAGTGCCATCATGTAACTAACTTAGAAACGAGCAGAGACGATAAGAAAAACAGCGAAATCGACTCTAGTGAAGTAAAACATCCTTCAACTGATCGTCACGACGTAAAAAGGAAATTTACAAGACTGGAGAAACTCCAGTGTCATGAATAGTTTCAAAATCAAATCAAAAGCAAAACAATCCAAGGATAACGCCGATATAACCTGAGGCATTTCGCCGTTTCAGTGACGTGAATCTAAGCCGAAAACGAAGCGAGAGAGTTTCATGAATATTAGTTTGGTGTCCCATTTAAAACGACTGGTTAATGAAGAGAGAGAGAGAGAGAGAGAGAGAGAGAGAAATAGAATGAGATAACGATAAAGACGCCGATAAAATGCACGCACGAAAGAGCGAAGAAGAGAGAACACGGTATCACGTGGCGCTAGAGCGAGACGGTGATAGTGAGCGAGAGGAAACGAATAAGACGGAAAACCGCAATTAGAGAGAAACGATGCGACGACGGTCCCGTAAGTATACGCGACTTCAAAGCGGAGCGATTGCGTCAAGCGCGCGCGCGCCCGTCGCTCTCTCTCTCTCTCTCTCTCTCTCTCTCTTTACCTACCTATTGGTCTCTCTTTCTCTCGCTCGATCTTTCGCTCGCTCTCTTTCCTTCATACTAACACTCGCTATCATTCTCTCTCGGTAGCTGTGCCTCCACGCTTCGTTCATTTCACGTTATACGAACGATATAATTATGAATTGAACGCCGACGACGTGAAGAGAATCTGTCGCGTGAACGTCGACGTCGCGACGAACGAATCCATACGGGCTGCGTTCCGAATAAAGGCGTCTTCATTCACTCACCTCCTTTTCTCCTTGTGCTTTTTCTCCTTCCTGTGGATGTCCATGACGACACGCCGACGACGATGACGACGACGACGACGATGGACGACACGACGTCGGATCAACGTATAAAGCACTCGAATGCGCACTGCACCTTCAACGCACAGAACCAGGACACTCTCGGTCACTGCCAAGGAACGTATCCGCGGTGTGCGTTCTCTCTTTCTCTGTCTTTCTTTCACACGCGAAAGCTTCGCTCTCTCTTTTCAAACGGCTTTGCCGCGAAAGTCACTACCTGCCGTCTCTGTCTCGTTCTCTATCAGTCTCCGCCGGTGCAGGTTATCGAGATCGATGCGCGACGCGTGTCACTGTCGAACGCGCTGCATCACGGCGAAGAGGACAACGCCGCATTCCACGAAGCACACTGGTCTTTCGTGCAACGATAGATTCATGATGTGTCTGTGTGTGTGAGCTGTGGATAAATGGACGATGATGAACGCAACGAAGGAGTGTGTCGAAACTGCTCGCTACTGTCGCGGGTGGCTACTGATGGTGGCACTGTTATTATGTATTACGAGTGACGACCCGCGACGATGACATACGCTGCTATCAAAGTAGAAGTACTACACACCATCGCGAATTAAATCTAAAGGGAGGGAGAGCGACAGCGACGTCACGTGGCGTCCATGTTGAACGTCATGCCATCTGACAATCATCGCCGAAAACTATGCGAAGAAGTTGCAAAGCGCGGAAAATTCAAATCGAACGCGTCCCATCAAACCCTCCGAGTCCTGTGTCGGATTATAAGCCGGTGTTAATAGTTATTACTTATCTTAAGTGAGATTGTCCGACAATGAATAGTGCGCTAAACATTGTGATTAGAGGATTACAAAGTAGATGTTATAATTCAACAAATCAACTAATTTCCACCTTATTAGCTCGCTTGATCATACGTTGATCTCCAATTCAATATATAGCCTGACATGGGCTTGATAGGCTTCAAACTTTTCTTTATACACAAAATTAATAAGGTTACTATGTGACTGAAACGTGGCAGAACGCCATGAATATTTGATTTCAATCCGCGGTCGATACATACACTGAGAAAAAAATACTTCAAAATTTACGTGCAAATGGGTAGAATATACAGAGCTTATTTCTGCGAAATAAATGTTAGTTCCACGAATAAATTTTCAAATATCTTTTTCTTAGTTTCGAAACACGAAAGTCGCAGATGTGCTATGCGTCGCCCCTAATAGCAACAAGATCTTGTAAGGATATCCTGAAGACTTATGCAGATATTTAGAAGTCCTCAGAATGTTTTTAGGATATTCTGAGGACTTATGCGGACATTTCGCAATCCTCTGGACATCTTGGATATCTTATGCTGTGTGGGGCTCTATCAGAATACTTACATATTCTTCTAACGACGGCTTAAAGGCAAGTAAAACGCGGACGAATGACATTTCGCCCAGCATCTTCGACGTCTCACCGAATATTCACTCTCTGCAATGACGGAAGTCCCACTTTCCCCAGCCAAACACAGATTATCCCAGAATATTCCGAAAAATACTAGAAATCATGCTACAAGAATATTCTAAAATAAATATTCTAATATTGTTATAGGAATATGAATCTTCTCAGTAATGGTACTTGGAATATTCGCAATTGAATAATGTATTCTGTATGGAATATTACCCGAATGTGATTTTTGAAATATTAAAAAATCTTGTATATTGGAATATTCGGAAAATAATCTGGTAAGCATATGTGGTACGGAATACACCCATTTTCATATATTGAAAAGTTTGAAGGAGCTAATTGAAAATTTTTACTCTGTACCAAATTCAATACCTTGGTTGCTTCCCAACAAAAGACCCAAGTCCACATCATTCTATCTTTGTTCCACATTTAGTGAGTAACAAAGATAGGATGATACTTGTGTTGACTTGTGTCTCTTGTTGGAAAGCAACCATTAATAAAGAATACTTCGAAAGCGAATAAGCGCTCAAAGCGAACATACCATTATGATAGTCATTCTCATCAGTTAATAGCAAGTGGCTCAATAGGTAAGGCGAGTTCCTTCAAAAGAACTTAAAGGTTTCAGGTTCGAGTCCACTGGAGTCAAGCGATTTTTTCCAAGCAAATTATAAATGGAATTAATTAAATGGCACACTATTATAAAAAGATTGCAATAACTAGAGCACATTAGCAACCACAACAAATATTCTAGAATTTAAAGATCTTCCTTTTTATTTAATAACTTTTCTAACAAACTTTTTTCCGGTGTAGAATATTCCTCGATCAAAAATTAATCATGCATAGAATATTCTATGAATATATGTGGGAATATTCCCGAAGATTATTATTAGAATATAGATAAGATAGTATCCTTTTGAAAACATAAGAATTTTCCCAGAATATTTATCTTTTTAAAAGAACTTTCTATTCTAAGAACGAATATTCAAATCTTCCTATTGGAAGATCGGAAGATATTCGATAGGAAGATATCGGAAGGAACAAATTTGTGCTGGCTGGGTCGGCACTCCCAACAAATCGTTCCGCGAGAGATAATCACTGTTTAACAACACTTCACACATTTGCACGCACGAAATCACGTCGCGTCTTGCATTCTCTTGATGAGATACTGCCCAGCCAGCATAAATTCGTTCCTGGAATATCTTCCGATCTTCTTTATAGATTTATATAGTAAAACGCACATTATAGAATTGCATGATTAATGAGGCTACTTTTTCATTGAGGTATGTAGTCATGTAGTATCTCTGAAATATTAATTTAACATGTAATTTTCTATGTTTATTAATCTAGGTTACTGCTAATGTATGCACTGCTATTATCATGTTTGTACAATTAAAAAATGTTATAATTATACGAATTAATAAAAAATATTAAAAAATAATTCACAATATAAATATAGATTTAAATTAAAATATAATTTTAGTTATGTAAGATATATGACTCGCCGTTAAGTTGTACTACTTAAACAGTAGTATAGTACTCAGAATATGTCGAGTGGCAAGACTTATGGTGCTGTCACACGGGACGGAACGTATACGCAATGCGAAATTGGTGAAACGTAGCCTGTCCAATAGCAAGTATTCCGTCATATGTGGTCTGCTGAAATGTGTCCCCTTATGTCACATGGAGCAGAAATCGCGGAAGCGCAATTGGCGCTTAGCCAATTACAAGTATATTTCCCATAGATCCTTCTGTTGGATCTATCAGAATAGTCTATATTATTGGCAGGTGCCAATTACGCTTCCGTGATTTCCGCTTCATGTGACATTAGGGAAAGGCTTGGATCGTCAAAAGCCAATTATTGAAGTTAAGTGAAAACACTCACACACCTGTCAAATACTTATCAAAAAGTCAAAATATAAATATTCAGTTAAATATAATCATGGAGTATAGTATAAAATCAAAAGACATATTCATTATTATTTGCAGATTATTGAAATCATTAAAAAAAACTATGTGCACAGTGAGAAAACAGGTGATACGCCGCAAGATTGCAAAATTGTATGCATTATACAAAATTGCACAAAAAAAGGAATACTTTCCAAAACAACGTACATGTTGGGTGCATCCTATATTTAGTGTTGAAAGAAGACTTGAGCAAGGAGCAAGTGAGAAACCTTGTGAAGGAAATGTTGACCAAAGACAGAAAAATATGAAGATTATTTTAGAGTTTCACCTGAAATATTTGAGGCATTGTTAACATTAATCAACCCACATATCACTAAAGAATATTGTATTTGCGAGCTAATTTCACCTGAGACTCTACTTCAAATTACATTGCGCTATTTAGCATCTGGAGATAGCATGAAATCTTTATCATGTCTTTAGAATTGCACACAACACAATCTCAAATATAATACCCGAAGTTTGTAGCAATTTGGAATTGTCTGAAAGATTCTGTTTCTCAAGGATAATAAAGAGAGTTGGAAATCTGTAGCCGACGAATTTCAGCAATTATGGAACTTTCCAAATTGTATAGGGGTCTTTGATGGAAAGCATATTCAAATCCAGGTACAATATATTTATATCTCTTAAATTATATATCAAAGTTTTATCTTCATTTTACTCGAGATATACTTCACGTGGGTTGAGTTATTCTTGCATAACTATGACTGCTTGATCTGAACGCAGCAGTGACACATAACTGCTATATTTACCATTATACCTTACGTAAAGTCGTATTCCACGGACTTGACAATGTTTTATTCATTATATATTTTCAGTGACGTGTATGTCGCTTATACTGACGCAAGTAGTTTCATACGACTCGATCTGTTACCTGTGTCGTACTCGTAATAGGAAATGAAATGCACGAAGGACAAGCGCATCGGGATCATATTGGGGAGAGAAAACAAGCGACGCAATTAATAAGGTCTTTTTAATAACAGACGAACAACTAAGAGCAATTGTACCCAAAACTTACAAACGTACCGATTTGTTCCGCGCTTATTCATCGCGCATTTGAATTTTAGCCTCTCCAAGGCCTCGATCTGCGTAACTTCGCGAATAGAGAAAGAGACACACATGCAGAGTCGGCGACGGCCGACGCACGGAAGGGACATACGTGCTTCTCCTCATTTCCCTATTTGCGTTTATCTCGCGCACTTTCATTAAGTTAGAGAGCCCCTCCTCTAGAGTCTCATTAGCTATGCACCAGAAATGTATCTAGCGCGGGTGAATGCTACCGACACCGCGGCGTCGTCAAAGTGTGACGAAACGCGCGCGAACCACGTTCAGTTAGTCTTAGCCTGCTCCACTTGCTGCTTTGTACTCGAAAGGTTCAATGTCTCCGGGTTTCTCTTTGCGTCGTCTTGAATCGCGCTCATCGCGTTTCTTTTCTCCTTATTGTCGGCGGACGTCGACTGCGCTTTTGCCGCTTGCTCGTCCTCCTCGTCGTCGTCGTCGTCCACTAAGTCGTCCATCGACCCTTTGCTCTCGTACAACGCTGGGTACTGCGACATGCACGTCTGCATCGTCTTAAACGCCTCGTAGCAATCGGAGCCTTTCGGTTCCGCACTGGAGAAATGGAAACAAGAAAAAGCTTCGCGGAACTCCAGACCACAGGGCCCAGTCGCCATGCCACCTAAACACGGACAGTTCCAATTGATCTCGCCATTGGACAGCACCAGGAGCGAATTTGGTTCTGGTGGTGGCAGGTCGATATTACTGGGATTCGCATGGTCCTCCTTGGACGCGAAGATTATAGTGTCCTTGCCTTCCTTGTGAATTGATGGCATGGTAATCTCGATAGGCGTGTCCTTTTTTAATAATGCACAAATTTAATTCAGTGTTGGTACGTTCTACTGTCAGCAGTGAACGACAGTAAGTTTGGTGACACTCGATGAACTGTATACAGGCACGTTTGGCCTTCGTACTTGGTAGCAACAGTCAGAGCAGCTCTCAATCTTACACAGTTATCAGATGAGCAACGCAAAATAAATCTTCCTGTTGCTGGGGTGAACTTCAGAATATCTATTGTACTTTTAGTTCCTTCCTCACCAAATAGTTGACGTACAGCTTGAAGAATGTTCTTCTTCAAATATACAAGAGTCACTTCAGACTCCTGTGGCAATTCTCTGTAAAGAAGGATTCTAAATTAATAATAGTTATAAATGTGTCATATATATATTTCATATTTCTAGTCACATATATCACATAAATTTTATCATATTCCTAATTATACACAAGTTACTGTTTATACGATGTTAATGTTTCTTTTTGTCTATTGAGTGTTATTTATAGCGACATATACTTGTAAAGATAAGGTATCACAACCTTATACCTTTACACAAAGTCTACTTTTCAATATATTATAAATACTGCATATAATATACATGCTCAGGGCTTTCTTTCTAGAAAAAAGAATGCTGAAACTCATAAGAGAAGAATGAAGGAGAAACACACTGGATTCTTTGAAATAATATTATTTTTATGCATTATAGGCTTACATCAATTTGAAAGCAATTTTCAAGTTTTGTATGTCTTTAATTTAAAAAATTATACTCATAAATTTCCACAAATCTTTTTAAAATTTTAACGTTTGCACGTTTGCATGAAGAGGTTCCGGCGCATACCGCTAGATAGAAAGCCCTATACATGATACAAGTGCTATACGAATAACTACAATTTTCACAAAACTGAAAAGCTTATAAGTCTTACAACTCGAATGGAGTACTGAACATTCGCGACTGTAGCAAGAAGTATAGGGTACAAATTTACGATCTACTTTATAGCGATAGTTGTCACATTACAAACAAACATCTCTTTTTTACGACAGAAAGTTACATCATTCGCGAGATAATTCAGCGCTCAGCGATAAATCAGCACACACGTGTAAGTCATATGTATAAGGTTATGTTCCACGGCGAGAGAACGCTTACAGTAAACGCGTGATTACGTGAAATTTGGAATGTACTAACAGCGAAACGTCTAAATAATGCATTTTGCGTGGAAGCACTGGCTCATGACTCACATTGATCTTACGTATCGAACGGAAGATCTTCCGGGACATTCACGTTAATCTTACGCGACCGCTCGGCGGCGTTTGATTCATACCTTCACGTGCCTTCGCGACAACAGCGACGCCAATACTAAAGACCCTTCAAGAGAGATTGAATAAAGCTGGCGGCCGCCAATACGTGAACTTGTAAGAAGTGTGTGGTCTGTACTTTTTCACTGCACTGCTGCACTAGTGCAATAAGTAGAGTGAGACGAGTATATTTTTTCTCACTCTAACTTATGTTGGCGCTGCCATTTTGTGAGCAAAAGTCACGTGCACCAATCACGCGGAATCCCGTTATGTCCAGTCTCTACTCAAGGATCTCTAGCCAATACTAGAGACTCTCAGTCCGCGTTCCATGTTACGCATATGCGCGCATTTATCTATAGTTTATGTTATGTATACTGTAGGAAATGCGCGCTTCATGCGCAACTCGGAACGCATCCTCAAACAGAGACTGGCCATTGAGGGAGTCTCCACGTGATTATCCTTTAAAATGTATAATGTAAGTTCTTGAAAATATTACATATAGTCAATAACAATTACACGTTATGTAATGTCGAAAGAAATAAAAACCAATTAGTCTTGAGATATTATTATTCAGGTAATATAATAAATAATTAGTTAAAAAAAATATATATTATATAAATATATAAGGTAATTTTAATAAATAGAGATTACTTGTATTGTTGTTATAAGTTTTATTTAAAGGTATATAGATGTGTGCAAGTGTAATAGTTGTTAATTGTTCATTTTATGTTACGTGATGTTAAATTTTGTAATTAAAATGATAAAATATCATGTTACTTATATGTCAATTGACATACAATTACATACAATTGACGTTGCAGGGAGCCGATTCTTGACGGTATGCAAATGAGATACGCATGCGAAAATCTACAATATATGTGACGTGAACTATATATTTTCGTATGCGTATCTTATTCGCATACCGTCAAGAATCGAACCCCAGATCGATATACACGCACACATTTAATAGTCATGCGCTCATTCAGCAGTATACAAATTCATCGCCGCCATTTTTCGGGCCAATGGCCAGTCTCTATTTGAGAATCTCTAGCCAATATTAGAGTCACTCTAATCAGAGTTTGGCCGCCACAACGCGCGGTTTCGTCAAGATCCTACGAGAAAGAGAGATATATTTTCAATCTCTTTCTTTATCTATCTTTCCTTAACCTAACCTAACCTACTGCCATAAGCATACTGTGATTGGATACTGTGAAATTTGACGAAACATAGCGGACCAATCAGAAGGTTCTATCTTATGACCAAACTCTGATTATAGGATCTCTAGCCAATACTGTCTTGCAGCGTCAACAATGGGTGCATCCAGTATTATACCGAGCGTTTGCTGAGCGCTCAGTGAGTTCTTGGATCTGATTGGCTTATACTTCTAGATGTTGATGAAACCTAATATACTCTAAAAAAATATACACCAACCAGATCCAAGAGTTCAGCGAGCGGTTGTAATACTGAATGCATCCAATAAGTCTATTAGTTTTCGAAAAACTACTGAACCGATGCAATAAGTTAGAATAAAACAAATATAACTTTTCTTTCATTCTAACTTACCGCACTAACGCGCACTAGTTCAAAAGTTCTCTGCAAACAAAGCTAATCTCTCGCAATATCATTCCAATCTTCAATGATATTTTTTTATAAATACCGTTGTCAGTATACGCGCCCGTATCGTTCGTAATGCTCACGCACTTCTTTGCTCACGTACGGATGTTTTTTTTTAAATCCTGTATTCTACATTGACAAAAGTGTGAAATATAGGCAAGGCTTGCCTCTGCATTATCTAGCAATTCTCTTTCTCTTTTTTTCTTTCCTCGCATTTCCCTCCAGTTTCAGACATACAGTTGTGTGAAGCAAATATAAACAAAAAATCGAACGAAGTTCAAGGATGTATATCTACATAACAAGAGCTCATTTGATTTTTCATTTGGACGGATACCTGCACAGCTGTTGAACACCGCCCAAACAACATACATTCCTCAAGAAGGACGCTTGAAAAAATAAAACGTCCCTTTGACGTCCTTAGAATGAAAAATAAAGCAAAGTCTCCGTAAGAGGAAACATGCATACGAATACTCAGTCACGATGCGCGTTCGACACGGTCTCATAAAAATTGGACGCGCTTCGGGGGCGTGTAAACCCGCCATTAGCCCGGCCCTGCGATCGACCACGCGACTACCGATTGCCATGACGGGCGCTGCGGCGCCGCCAAAGGGGAGCGCTTGTCAAGGGTCCCGCAGGAACTCTGCTTTCAGTCGCAGCTCGGCTGTCCGTGCGAGACGATCGAGCCGCGTTCACTTGCATTGCGTTGCACTTCGCACGTATACACGGACATAGACATACACGCTCGCTCGCTCGCTCGCTCGTTCGTTCGCTCACTCGCTCGCTCTCTTCGCGCACTCACACACAGCACGCCCGCACGAACGCACTCGCGCACGTACGTACATACACAGATACGTACGTACCGTACTATACGCGCATACACGCGAGGGAGACGTGCCCATCGTACACATTCATACGTACACACATACACACATACGTACGTAAGAGCGAGACGGATCGGCAAACGCGTGCGGGGGTGGTATCGTGTCGCGACATCAAAGAGACGGTTCACGCGGTTTTTTCACGTATATACAGGGTGCGCGTATTCGTGTACGTGCGCGAACGAAACGGAGAGGATCGAGGTTCGAGACGGAACGAGGACCCATGCGTGCGATATAGACGCCGCGCGACGGCGGTATACACACATACTCGCCTCCCTCTCACACAGCGCGCGAGCGAGCCGACTAAACGCTACTACGCCCAAGTCAGTCGGACGTCGGCTCGGGCCCGACGACATCCTGACGGCATCGTCGCTCCTATCGCACGACGTTCCCACGGGTTCGGCCGCGCCACGGACGGCCTCGCGAGAAGCTGACACTCGCGGGGGGGATCCCGAGCGGCCATCAACGGCGACCGGGTTGCGACCCGGGCCCTCGAGCAGCTCGTGACAGTGAAGTGAAGCACGCGTGAGAGACGGCCGAACAGCGGAGGAGGAGGGACGAGGAAGACATCAGTCAGTGAGGCGGACCGAGTGAGAGAACGAGGGAGATATATAGAAGGAAGGAAAGGGAGAGATAGAGAGAGAGAGAAAGAACGACAGAGAGAGAGAGAGAGAGAAAGAGAGAAGGTAGGGGAGCAAGGAAGGAGGCTGCAGGACGGGTGGTCCTGACAGCGAGCGGTGACGAGAGAAGACCGACCGTCCTGAACGAGCGAGCAAACGCCGGGGACTAATCGAGACCCCCGTATATTAATTGGCACACTAGAGCGAGCTTTTTGCTCGAAAAAGAAATCAAAAGAAAAGCATACAATCGTGTAACGCTCGCCGCGAGCGCGCTGGACTTCTCTCGAGAGCTTTCCCTTGGTGTTGGATATACCCCCTTGGTCCAACCCTCGGGCTAAGGCTATATACCCTACCGCGCGGCGAGATGAACACCCTTCTCCTCCGGCTCGTTCGACAGTGCATGAGTCTAGTCGGGGAGTATCGTAGTGGCCGTCACTGACCACACTGGCAACACTCCTTCATCGTCATCGTCATCATCATCGCTTTCATCGTCATCATCATCACCGGCAGCGTGTGTGCTGTGCGTTCCTTCAGGAAGGAAGTCTCTCTTCATGCCGAGTAGCGAATAGTCACGCTTGGAGGATATCGCGGGGCAACATCGGGGTACCGAGCGAGACGCGGACGACGACGGGCGGCAGCGAATCGTCGCCGACGAGAATCATCGCGATCGTCCCGCATCATGAGGGCCTAGCGTTCGACATCGTGGGTCATCGTGGGTCGTCAGCGTCGGGCGTGCAAGGTAGGACGGCGGCGCGCCGGCGGAAGCCTGGATAGTAGGAGGAGGAGGCACCCGACAACATGGCCGCCGCCTGCTACGAGAAGGAAGTGGTGGTAGGCGCCGTCATGCACGGACACGGACATCATCATCATCACCACCACCACCATCATCATCATCACCATCATCACGGTGGTGGACTAGGAACGTCGTCCAGCGACGCGACCGGTCAGACGGTCCTGCCAGCGGCGTCCACCGGCCTCGACGACGCCGCCGCGACCACCGCCGTCGCCGTCGTCGCTTCTGCCGGCAACACGTCGGCGGCGAACAACGGCGTCAACGTCAACAACGTCGTGAACGCGAACACGACGGCGACCGCCACCGCGGCCGCAGCTGCAGCCGCCGCCGCGACTGCCGCCGCCGCGGCCGCTGCTGTGGCGGTCACTACCTACAAGGACTACAAGGACTACTCGCAGCCGCTTCACGTGGACTGCAGCGTCGAGTACGAGCTGCCGAGCCAGGCGAAGCCGCCGCCCGGCGGCGGCGAGCCCCTCCTCATGATCCATCCGTGCTACTATCGACGCGCCGAGCGCGAGAGGAGAAGCCCCTTCGTCAATAATCTGCCGCCGCCAGCTGCGCCGGCGACCGCATCCATGTCCGCGTCTCGCAGAAGCGGCAGAAGGAGTGCCGCGACCGCTGGTGCCGCCGCCGTGACGGTCGCTACCGCAACGGTCGCGGTTGCGGTCGCCTCGTCGACGACAGCCGCCGCGAACGTGTTACCGTCGAGCAACAACCTCGTGTCCTCCAACGTGCCCACCTCCACCGTGTCGCCAACGACGTCCGTCGCGTCGTCCTCAGTCACCGCGGCGGTGGTGGCGACTGCGGATTCTGGTAGCAGTCTCATATCTACCAGCGGCCAGATGTCCGTCGCTATGGCGGCCTCGTATCGCGCGGCGCTCAACGTCGCGGCCACGTTGTCTCAGCAGCAGCAACAGCAGCAGCAGCAGCAGTCTCAGCGGCGGCATCATCCCCAGCAGCAGCAGCAGCAGCAGCAGCAGCAGCAACAACAGCAGCAGCCGGCTCATCATCATCATCACCATCACCACAGGAATCACAGTCACGCTCATCAGCAGCATCACAGCCAACAATCGCAGCAACAACGATCCGTGACACCAACGGCTTCCGGTACCGACCTCATCTCTGCCGACGAGAAGGCAGTCATATCAGGTATTTATCAACATTACTTCCGCGCCATGCGCGCCCACAATCATCAGCACCGCCAGCAGCAACAGCAGCAGCAGCAACAACAGCAACAGCAGCAGCAGCAACATCGTACTACTCATCAGCTTCATCATCAACCTCACCAAAGCGACCGAAGTTCCTCTTCTTCGTCGGCCACGTCGCCGACGTCTGCGTCGATCTCCGGTATCTTACGGCAAACCTATCAGCAGGCGTACAGCGGCGCGGCCACGAGCTCGAGCTCGTCCAATAGCCATCATCGCGGGGCTGCCACGGCGGTCTCGGCGGTCGCCCATCATCCTTACAGGCGGCCGTCGGCGACGTTGTTGTCGCGGGCAGCCTCGCATATCGGCCAGCAGGCTTCCTCCTCGTTGTCCTCCACCTCCTCCTCCTCCTCCTCTTCGTCCATTTTCGGTGCTTCCAACGGCGTAACCGCCACCGGCGTCTCCAGTGTCTACGCCAGCACGTTACACAGAACCTCCTTGCACGCTCTCCAGGCGGCCGGCTTCTACGAGACGCCGGGTTATCACGCCCTCCTGCCCCAAAGTTAGACGACAGCGGGGAGCTCAGGCGGTTTCGCGATTCCGGTGTTCGCGGTGTTAGGCGTCTACGCGTGAACGATAATCGCACAACATCTGCGACTATCGCGACCGCGGTTGTGCTGTTGTGAACGTCCGACGAGAGGAACGTGTCTGTGCGCTGCTTCTATTTCCCGCCCGGTCGATGCCCGACTCTCGACCGACTCGCGACCACCTCTCAGGGGCTGCTTCCGTGTCTCTCCCGTCTCCCTCGGTTCATTATCAAACGCTTAACAGAAATCGATAAAATTCAATAAGGGAGCAGGCCGGAGTCGGGGCGCGGTCGCTGAAATCGCCGCGTGTCGGTCGAGCGGTCGAACGACGAGTTACTGATTCTCTCGGTCGGGTCTGTTATCTCGTAAGGCGCGGTGCCTAATGGCACCGAGGGGTATATTTGGCAGAGTGACGACTGTCGTTGAGTGACGGCCGGGCTCTGACTAATTAGAGCCAGCGAAATGATACGTCGGTCGAGGCGCTACTTGTTTGTCGACGGTGGTCTGCGCCGAACGCGCTCTCGACGTTTCCCATCCACGTGTGTAGACCGCGAAGCTGAAGCATCACTTTGCGCGTGGCTCACATAGAGAGCGCATGATCAGTGTAGACGCTGCTCATATAACGACCGTGTTTCCAATTCTTCCCTTCGCTTTCCTTCACTTTACGAGCCGCGTTCGTTGGAGACCGTTTAATCGACAAGACGATTCATTGATTTCGGTAATTATCTCATGCCTCGAACATATATGCCTTGCGATATATGATCCTTCCGTAACATAAAGCTCGTATCGATATCACGGAAAGTTCCGCGATAATCTTTCCTGTCCTGCCCCCGTCGTGTTGACATTTCTACTTGTACGATTCGTCAGTTGACGCAAACATCGCGTAGACGACACGTGCGGCAAGCACGTAGTGCATCTAGTTAACGGAAATCGAACGGGAATGGTCTACGCGTAGAAACGCGGGACAAAGGACGAGCTTTTCGATCTGACAGACCTCTGAAGAATCGGATGTATCAAGAGATAGGTGGTAGTACCGCGACACCAAGTACATAAAACAGATACGTGTCGTATTCACGGCACATGAAATGCTCTCTCGTCTAGACGATTCGAGACTTTGTTCGACTCCTTTCTGACTCGAACTCCTTACTCGGGCCTATGACCTCAACCATGTCTGAAACATGTGTGTGATTTTACACGCGGTCCTCTTTCATCTTCGACATACTCGTTCCGTTCACGATGCCACATGTGAAGCGACGATTCGCGGACACTCTACGCGTAGACGACACGTGAACACCTCCAGCACCACAGTTGGAGTTTCGCTGAGCGTCTGACCGCTCGTTCTTCCTCGCGAACGCGAAACTGCGAGAACGAAAACGCGCATTCGTGACGACGACGACGACGACGACGACGACGACGACGCCGACGACGAACTTCGAGCAAGGTTGTCGTCATCGTAAATGGCGGACGCCTCCTTCCCCGAGACGCGCCGCTATATCGGATTATGATCCAGGGCGGTGCTGCTCGCCTCGGTGTGAATCCACCTTAATCCGAACGCGGAGAGAACCCGCGCCGCGCTCTCTCGCCCCGTTCCGCGCGACTTATCATCTCGATCGTTAAAAGTGCATGCGGGTGGGTCTATAGCGCGCATAGTCGGCATAGGGTACATCTGTCTCCTCCCCGCGCGCACGTACGGGGTGTCTCGGAAGCACGGCGAGGGGCCTCATTTTGACGGAGGTTCGATTTCCATGAGTTAATTTACGTACCGCCCAGCCTGGAATCGTTAATTCTTCCTTTACGCGTGTGCTCCACGAGGTACCTGGCATAACCGCTGGCACATACTTCTTTACGCCACCTCCCGCTAAAGAAACATTTAGGATAACTGCAGTTTACGTTAAATTACGGCAATCTCTCGCGGCTCCACGTCAAGTCTATCTCGATATCGCGTTTCGTTCCGACTGATTCCATCAATCAATTCTTTTTATACACTAATACTACTCGATACGAATATGCGTGACTATGAATGTGTCGGTGCGATAGTTGGATGCTGAAGAAAGTATGTGTAAATATAAATTACACTCATAAGTAAACACACACATAAACCACACTCACGTGACTGTCACAGAGTAACTGAATTTCTACGGATCGAGTGAACAGAAAACGTCGTGACTCAGAACTGCAAGAGTTAAGAAACAACTTCCAATTCAATCTTCGATTGGATCGATCATTTCTAACCATACATTTGTCATTATAGAACGTCTTATCGTGCACTATTTGGTTATGTATTTTTTATATATTATGTATATATTGTTTTTTTATGTATATTATTTTTGTTTGTAAATTTTGTTACAAGTACATAGAAGAGAAGAAAGAATAAAAACAAAATTATGTTTTTGCCAAATGTGAAATGTCACTTGCAAAAGCAAGCCTCAAGTCTCAAGGATAACATTCCTGTTAAAATCTTCCAAATTTCCAACGTCCACTTGAAAGTGGTTAAACGCTTCGTAATGTATTTGCCGAAACCTGATTCCTCAAAGTCATCTAAGCTACAACCGTTCGTGACTCAGGAAAGGCGAGGAGAGACTACGTCTCTCTCTCTCTCTCTCTCTCTCTCTCTCTCTCTCTCTCTCTCTCCCCTCACGTTCTGCTCCTCTCTCTATTTGGCTCTTCCAGCACTCGCGATTCGAAGAAGTCTTGAGTTGCGAGACACCCTGTATACCGTCGCCGACAACGATCGTACGTGCCGTGTTCGTTGTTGACGGTGAGCGGGTGGCCGGACGGACGGACGGGCACCGAATAAACACACGTCGTGCTCACACACGTACGCGTTATACGCATACACACAGCGTACACACTACGCGGCGGACCTGACGGATGGACGGAGGGAAGAGGGACAGTTGAAATGGTCGTCGCTCGTACACGTCAGGCGTGTTTCCATCCACCTGCAATGAGCGCGACTCAGGTAGAGAAAGAGAGAAAGAGAAAAAAAAGAAGGAGAAATCCGTTTGCTTAGGGCCGCATTAGCATCTACGTTCTGGCGGAGTTTTCGGGCCCCTCGAGAACCCGAAGACGTCGTCCCTCCACCTCTCCTCCGTTCCCCTTCGCGACTCGTCCATTATTCAGTATGCTTGGAACGATAGAGGACGTCGCCGGTATTTTTGAAGGATGGACAGTACGCTCGGTTTTCAGGGTTCCCCGATACCGTAGAACCGCGGAACCACCCCAGGTTGGACCCCGTCTCGCGCTGTAGTTCACGAGTAGTCGTTGATGACGGTGTCGTCATCCGGAGGGTTCTTTGTAGGTAGCCCGGAGGAGAAGAGAGGTACATGAGTTTCTTTCATCCCGAGACATGAACGTACGCGCTTCAGCTGCACCGATTCTCTCGTGTCCAACCAAGTCGCGCGCCAAGTAGAACCTTAGGTTGGTCTTGTCAATTTCTCTTTCGGACTCTCGTACGCGCATCTTTGGTCCCACGGATCCTCGGTTACGCGTGTCCCCGAAGCCGCAAGTCTCTGTATCCGCAGTTGTGCGAAGCCGCAGACTTTTAGGTTCGTATACAGGATGTCTGAGGAGTGTCGAATGTCCGTACGACCGCAGAAGAACCAAAAGACAAACTGGAAGTGAGCGGAAGAGAGCGCGCGCGAAGCGAAGCGACGCTTTTCACATTTGTCAAGCGCATCGTAAATCTTCTCGTAAATGACACCCGATTCCTTCTCTCCGATAAGGGTAAATCATTTCCGAGATACAGTGCATTCAGCTCTTCTATATTTCTTTCCAGGTTCCCGGCATCCCTATCCCGGTATCTTTGCGTGAATCGTGAGAACGATCGAAATTGGAGGGATAAAGAATTTCGTAGATAGGAGGGTGTAAATTCGTAACACCTACATCTTCGATCGTTTCCTCTTAAGATTATCGCCGCTGTCATTTATCATCTGTTATTACTTTCCTTTCTCTCTGACCTCGGATGCGAAAACAAACGTTTGTCTAGATATCGTGAAATTTTTCGTCAAGACTCTCCTTTTAAACAAAGAGAGAAGAAAAAAAAGAGATAAGATGCCTTTCGAAACCTTTCAAATTCCTCGCCTCCATTATTCAGCAGTTCTAGCCGAATGAACGGCGACGCGATGCGACGAGACACCATGTCGATCGCGGCAGCGAAAATCGATACCGTGATGACGCGATCGACGCCAAATGATAAGCATCGTTCGTCTTGCCGGCGACGTCGCCGTGATAGCAACCCGTGCCGGACTGGAATTTCACCTCGCCGTAGAAAGTCCTTCTTGCTCGGTCCTTCTTCCTTTTCGCTGAATTCCCCAATTTCTTTCTGTTTCCTCCTTTTTTCACAGTGGTTTGAATATTGGCAAGACAACAAGATAACAATGCATTCTGATTTACCGGTCGGATATCCTAAGGGAGAATCGTAAAAAAACTCTTGCGAAGAGAGAGAAGGAGAGAGAGAGAGAGGGGAGGATATCGTAAGCAAGAGTTACAGCAGATGTATCTAGTTTATTGCGAGATACAAATAGTTAAACATTTCGCGTTCCCTTGCTAGCTCCGCTAGGGTTAATTATTCGCGTTCTGAAATTATCCCACTTCTCCCGCGGGAAAGATATAATCCGAGGCTTAACCCTAGCAGAACCGAATCCTGACGTGTAACACGGCGAGCCGAGGGTGGGTCATTTATCGTCGAAAATTCGGGGAGTTGGTCCGCGCGAGAACCGCGATTCGACTTTGAATTAGTTGAACAATCTGTCCTCGAAATTAAAATCGATGGCTGCGCAGCTCTCTGTTTAACGAAACTCACGTAACGAGCTTTAACAACGCATCGGTCTTACGTGCGAGTTTAAGAGTCGCGCAATTAGCGCTCATTATCGTCAATCGACTTCGGGCGACGAGAGCATGAGAAACAGGGCGGAGGGCCATTTCTGGAGCGGCTTTCGAAGGTCGTCGTCGTCGTCGTCGTCGTCGAGTAAGAGTGACGATTCCTCCCCGGAAAGAGCGATATTCGCACGAGCGATCGCGCGCGAAGGAGGACGAGATTGTCGCGACGCAATTAACGATGGACGACAGCGATGCAAAAACGATGTGTTTGCTGGAGATCACGAGATACTATCCCGCGGTGCTTAAGCAACAATTAAAAGCTCGTTACTCACGTCGGTCTATTAATTATTCGCGATGCCGGTCGGGCGGATCGCGCACGCGAATGCGAGATCGGAAGCTACCCCTACTTGGAGCAACGTTCAAGATGATTGAACAAGCTGTCACGAGCTGTGGCAGCTCGCTGCGTCGGCATTACAGCACGATGCAACGTAATGCACTTCCAAAATGATAATCACAATCCAGACTAGAAATTTGTGCTATAATCCTGATCAGGTTGATCCCCAGTCAGTTACCAAGTCTGTATGAGATAATGTTACTAAGGATTACTAATAATTAGAACATTATTAATAATTAATATCCGAGATCTTTAACATTAGAACCAGCGACAATTAATGACCTATTCCTATCAGAGCGATTAAAATATGACAGAGTTTTGAAAAAACACACGATGGAAAAAAGTACTTTGTTACTGTTTTGGTTCCAAGCCAATTAGGAATACAAGATACACCGTTGTAACGTTGAGTGATTTTTATAAGAAATTACAAACTTATTTTTACTGTCTTAAACTAGTAGTATTAAACTAACCTATCTAACATACCTAACGTTAGTATTAAACGAACCAGATAACAAATTAGGAACAATCTGTGATCAGAATTATGGAGTAAATTTCTGGTCAAGACTATGATCGTAAATTTGTTTGCGGGAAGAAACCTTTTTACACAATGAACAATTATTATATAAAACAATGAAGCGCAACATTGTGAGGAACAGAAATGAAAAGAAGAAGGTATAAGAAGAATGTGCCAGGAGGAAAAAGATAGAAAATGATTATGTAGTCCCTTTGGTTTATTGTTCATCTGGACGACGGTGTTTTCTAATTATAAATATGCCCCTTTTTCGGACACCTCGCTGAAACATAATATCCTCGCTTGTATTCATCCTCGTCCTAGATCACTCAAAGCGACGGGGTGTAGCTCTATGCCCGGACCATCGTTGTTTGTTCGTCGCTTAACGCCGTAACAGGTTTCCAACCTGGAGGACTCTCGAGCCGTTCGCTCCACCGTCACTAAAATCTACTGTACTCGAGTACCCAGCGTTGGCCGCACGCTAAACGACTTAACACGCGGCCGACAATCATCTTAACAACGGGCGAGCACCGAACTCTGCGCCGCGCGTTTTTCCCGCCGTCGTCCTCATCGTCCTCCTCGCCCGTCGCACAAAGAGACTCGCTGATTTACGAGAGCAAGGCTGTAGCAAGCGCTTTTAGATACGGCTAAAACTTTCACCTGCTCCATTCCGACCGGCGTTGCTTAATGAGGCAATTTCCGAGATTCGGGAATTTCCCTAATGTGGTGCCACGTGTGTGCGCGCGCGCGCGCGCGCGCGCGCGCGCTTCCGCCAGAACGAGCGAGTCGTTTCTGTAATGTCTGTGACAAGGTGCGTTTTCGTGCACTCACAATCGCTATGGGTTAGGCAGCGAACATCAAACCGTATCACCGTCCCACATCTATCATTAAACGTATGACGTGAATACGGGCCTTTGAGTCCGGGGTGGACCCCGCTGGATCCCTGCGGGCCCAACCGCCGCCGCCGCCCCCCCTTCCCCAATGGCGTAACTAGGTGACTGTGCAGTCGCTTCCTTTCCACACATGCGCACACGAACACATAGGTTACGTACACGCGCGTTCCTTTAATAAGCGTGAGCGGTACAAATTCGTTATGAATAAAAAGCTACGGTCGTAGAAAATTAACGGACGTTGCACATAGACCGACGTTGATGAATTCGCTAAATTCTGGCACTCTGCTCGCGCTGCGGTCCATCCTACCCCTCTGTCTCTCCCCCTTCACTCCCGCATCAGCCGCTTCAACCCTTACATCCTAGCTCTTTTTTTGCGGCTCTCGCATCGCGGTCGCGTACAGGAAATGGAAACGGCGGCTGTGTGTCGCGTCATCGTGGTCACTCTGTCTCTTTCTCTCTCTGTTTCTCTGTCTCTCTATCTCTGTTTCTCTGCCTATATCCCGTTTTTCCCTCACTATCCGTCGTACCACGGTATATCCTCTCTTCTCTCATTCTCTCTCTTTCTCTCTCTTCCTCTCTCTCTCTCTCCCCTTCTCTGTTTCTCCTCCCTCCACCCTCCGTCTCGCGTTCTCGGCGTGGTGTATCTCTAGAAACCCGAGCGACGTCCAAGCCGGCTTGGGTTTCGTCTTTTTTTGTCCCGCGCCCTTTTCAAAGCGCGCGCTCAAGGAGAAACGGACGGGGGACCGTATTTCGTTCGTTACACGGTAACGATCGATCAACGT